CCAAGTTCGTGGGTCAGATGTCAAGCTGGAGGCTTCTGCAGACTCACGAAGCTGCAGGGCTGACTAACCCAAGACTGGCAGGTAAAATGGAAGGTTTTTGGCTTACAGACTGTGAAGGCAACAATCCCAAGATCTATAGGCAATAATGACAGGCCACTGGTTCAAATCCAGGATCTTGAGCAAAAAACCAGAGATCGTTGCCAGGACATCCATGTATATTAGAAGCAGGCCACATCCCTGAGGAAACTCCCTTTCAACTGACTGGCTGCTCACAGTCGGTCTTATTATGGAAGTGATTACATTATATCAGATGTCATCCTGGGGAATGACTGTATTGTAACTGCTAAACCACTGAGAATCATGGCCCAGCCAAGATGACATACAACCTTAACTATCACAGGAGCAGACAGTAAATACATTAGGCATTGCAGGCCATATAGCTTCTGTCACATCTACTCAACACTGGGTTTGTATCAAAAAGCAATCAGATGATATGCCACCAAACTTTATTTACAAAAGCAGTTGGATGAAAATGTATTAGAATGTCTTTGTGACTTTGAAGTATAAAAGAATTTCTTAACAAGGCACAAAAGCACACATGATAAAGGAAGATTTTTAAAAATATGAATATAGTAAACTCCCATACTACATCAACAGAGTTAACAGACAAGTCATGTATTGGAAGAAGATATACACAGCGCAGATAATAAAGAATTAGCATTCAGAATATATATATATATATATGGCAAGCTCTGGTTGCACAGTGGGTAAGGCATTTGGCTGCTAACCAGAAGGTCAGCAGTTCAACCCCACCAGCTGCTCCCATGGGAGGAAGATGAGGCAATCTACTTCCGAACAGACTTAACAGCCTTGGAAACTCAATGGGTATCACTAGGAGTTGGAATTGATTTGATGGCAGAGGAGAGGGTATCTATCTATCTAGGGAGAATCACTTTAAAAAAAAAAAAAAAAAGCCAAAAGTGAAAAGCGGGCCAAAAATATGAACATACATTCATAATGGAAGAAACTGTCATGGCCAAAAAACATGACAGGATGATCTATCTCACTGGTTATCAGGAAATGAAATAAAAAAAAAGGGATACAATTTCATAGACATTAGTTTAACAAAAATGAAGAACGTCTTATCTAACAGTAACAGTGAGAATGTGGAGTAACGGAACTTCTCCCACACTGCTGGCTGGAGGCTAAACTGGTAAAACCATTTTAAAGTGCAATTTAAAATTTCCTGGAAAAGTTGAATATGCACATACCCTATGATCTAGCCATTTTACTTCCTGGTGTATAGCCAGATTAAACTTTTCCATGGGTGCAAACATCCATATACTGATGTTTTTGTCAAAGTGATTTGCAATAGCAAAAAACTGGAAATAATCCTATTGTTCATCAACAGAGGCATGGATAAAAAACTAGTTTATTCTTATAATTGCAAAGAAACAGTAAAAATGAAAGGCCTAGATATTCAAGTAACAGTACAGATAAATCTCCAAAACCTAATGTGGTATGATGAAAAGCAAGTTGTAGAAGAATACATGCACTCTCATATCATTCAATTATATTTTAAAACCACAAATCATTTTAGTGTGGTTTTAAAAAATATTTTACTTGAGCAGTTTTAGATTTACAGAAAAACTGCAAATCACAGGATTCCCACATACTTTGTCTCTCCACTGCATATTGTTTCTTCTGTTATTATTATTTATATTCTCAACAACAAAATTTAATTACTTTAAAAAAAACAGGAAAAAAAAAGGCATGTTATGTTCCTAGATAAGGCAATTGAAAATTGTGGAGATGCTATTCTTGAAAAATCAATTTACAAATTCCAAGAGGTCAACAGATATGTTTACATAAAAATTTTAAATGCAGTTTTTCTGCATACTGTGAAAGCTACTATAAATAAAGTTTAGAGAAAATATTTGCCACATATATAGTAATTAAAATAGTTGATATAAAGTGCTCCTATGAATCAATTAGTAAAAGATATTTAATGGGAGAATAAGCAAAGAATGTAAGAAATTCACAAAAGTTACTAAACCTGACTGATGATGAGAAAAATATAAATTAAAATAAGATTAATTTATACTTATTAAATTGGTAAAAATAAAAGAAACTGACCATATCTAGTATTTGTGAAGCTGGTCAGTTTGTAAATAAATGGAATCTCATATATTTATGGAAGAAATGTAAATTATAGGGCTTTTTTGAAAGGAAAGTTGACATTATCAAAACTTAAAATATACACGTTATTCAGTCTGTTTCTCAATGACTCCTTTGCAAGAATACTACCTGGAGTTAGCCCAAGTACAAAGTTAAGGGCACAGTCCTCTAGACTGCCAAGTCTGCCGATGACTTCTGACACCAATTTTAGATATCTAATGCTGCTGTAACAGAAATACCACAAGTGGATGGCTTTAACATACAGAAATTTATTCTCTCACAGTTTAAGAGGTTAGAAGTCCAAATTCAAAATATGGCTCATCCATACTCTGGAATATTATATAGGGGTTGAAATGAAGAATGCAAAATATATGTTGTCAAGTGAAAGAAGCAAGTCACGGAACATATTTGCTATGAATTCACTTACAGAGAGAGGAACTTATCCTACATATCCACTTATGCACATATATGTACAGATGCATAGAAATTAGGCATGCTAGATGTTAATCGTAATTAATTGGGAAGGGAAATGAGATTTGAAGAAAGGAGTGGTGAGGGTTTTTATTCTGTTTTCTCATTTCTGTATGTTTGAATATTTCGTACAGCGAGCATATCAACATAATTTGTAAAGGGTAATATCTAAGCTACTAATAATTGTCAATTTAAAAAAATTAAATGTTAAACATTTAAAATATTAGAAAATGATGTAATAGACTCATGAACCTACCTCCCACATTTGACAGATATTATAGTTTACCATTTACTTAAAGATCTCCTATTTATTAAGTCATAAAATCTAATAAAACTAAAGTCCCATTCCTTTCTCTTTCTACAGGAATAATCACTGTTTTATAGTTGGTAGATATCATTCCCATACTCACATTTATATTATTTCCAAATACGTATATATTGAAAAACAATAAAAGGCAAATAGAGACAGTGAAAAAAATCACTGGTTTCCAGGGCTTCAGGGGTTATTTTTGGTTTAAGGTTTAAAGGTTATCTTAGGACAATAATTTCAGGGGTTTATCTAGCATCCATGTCTCCAGAACATGTGGATTCCAAAAGAATCTGAAATTCTGTTCTGTATTTTTCCCCCTTTTGTTCAGAATTTTTTGTTTATTTTTTAAATAGAATCTTTGAGCAAAATGTTCAATAATGGTAGATAGGCACCATGCAAAACATAATGCCTTTCATTTTTAAGTTTTATTAAAAGTCTTTCTAGATATTTTATAGTTTTGTTTCCAATTATAAACAAGATATCTTTTCCATTTCATTTCTTACTGGATATAGCTGACATATCAAACCAAAACCAAAGTCATTGCCATGGAGAAATAAACATAGGAGATGAAAAATTACGTAGCAAATCTTTTGATACATATAACCAATTCCTTAGAATGTTAATCTATCTTGTAAGTATTAAGAAGCATGAATGGTGCTTTCTGGTTTGTAGTTAAGCATAAACCAAAAAACCTAACTCACTGCTGTCAAGTTGATTTTGATTCACAGTAATCCTACAGGAAAGAGTAGGATTGCCCCATAGGGTTTCCAAGGTTATAAATCTTTTCCAAAGCAGACTGTCACATCTTTCTCCCATCAAGTAGCTGATAGGTTCAAACTGCAGACTCCTCAGTTAGAAGCCAAGCACTTAACTACTGCACCACCAGGGCTCCTCTATAATTAAGTGTGCTATAGCTAAACGCTTTTAATACTTTTAGATCTTCTAAAATTAAATTATTTCCAAGTATGACATTAATTATCAAAAAGGCTATAGCAATGTTTTGCCCATAAGCAAAGCTTGGATTGGGAATCTTGTAAAAATTAAAAGCTTTGTGTCATCATTGAATGGCAGAGTTCATCAATGAATGGGAAAGGGCACACTGTCCACTGACAAAACAATTGTAAAGATGTACAGATAAAAGAGAAATGAAAAGAATATTAAACATGATTTTATAGTTTCTAGCATTAGATGTCAGCATGCAAAGCTTTTTTGTGTTCCTGCTCATTTCAACAGGGTGGGACAGGGAGAAGAAAGGCCATTTAAGCTTTCTTGATTAACATGAAGAGAATGCAGCAGCACACACTACACGCTTGCAGCAAAGTCTAGCTATGGCTTAGATACAGCTAATTCTACTAAGGTCATATTGTAGTTTGATCAAGGGTCACTATTTCCTAAAAAGTTAGAATTTCTTTATTCTATAGGGATCGTAAGTGATTTTGGTACTTTATTTGCTTATCGGCAAAAGAGTGATACAAAATGTCTTTATAAGAAGACAGAGATATTCTCCGTGTCTAAAAAGAAACTGTACGGGTATTTGTTAGCTACAGAAATAATTCTAGTGCTTTAGGAAACAAAGGCCACTTTCTGTGAAAGATTGGCACACACTGATTCCTTTGACCAATTTAATGTTTCTGGGACTAAATATCAACTTACTCAAACAATTTCCTTTATACACGAGAGGAAAACCAACCAACTTGTCAAAAAACTGCATTCTCAAATAGTTACGGCAAGACCAAAATAGTCATCAAGGTCAAATAGGTGTGAATACGATATACTTAAGCATTTATTTAACTTTATAAAGTTTGATTTGAAATGAAATGAAATGTCTTCTTATCTAATGACCATTAGATATATTAAATATTAGAAATATTTAACTATAATCTGCTTTTGTCAGCAATCTTCCTTTAACCTGAAATTTATTTATAAAGGTACACTTTATTCATCTCCAATATGCTAATTTAGAGAAAAATATCTACATTTCAGGACTTTCCCCAAAGTATGTATTTTTAAAGTATAAATGCTTGACTTTATCCTAGAAAATTCATTGCTTTTGAGTTGGTGTATCACAATATGGCACGTTTTCTATAAGAAGGTCTTTCCTAGGAACCAATTCTGAAAGAAAAAACACAAAGAGAGAATATTTAATATCATTAGATTGAAATGCAATCATACCCGCTTCCCCAATTTATAATAACAAATGTTATAGATTGAATTGTGTCCTTCAAAAAGAAATGTTTAAGTCCTAACCCCTGGACCTATCTATGAATGTGATCTTGTTTGGGGATATAGGGCATTCTTTGTAAATCTTATCTATCAGTTTTCTCATACAGGAGTCCAGTGGTTCCTAATCCTACTCCCTTTTGAGTGTTGTTTCATAAAAGGGGAGAACAGATATGGGAAAAGGGTCACACACACAGCGGGAAGACAGCATGTGAGGAACCATCTATAAGTCAAGCAATACCAAGAAACACCTGGAGCTACAGAAGTTGAAAGACACAAGGAAGCATCTTCCCCTAGAGCCAGCAGAGAGAGAACAAAGCCCTGCTGATAACTTAAATTCACACTTCTAGCCTCCAGAAGGGAGCTCCAGTGGCATAGTGCCTAAGGCATTTGACTGCTAACCAGAAGGCTGGAGGTTCAAACCCACCAGCCACTCCTCAGAAGGAAGATTGGGCAACTACTTCCATAGAAATAATGGCTTGGAGACACAAGGAGGGGTCACTACAAGTTGGAAACAACTTAACAGCAGTGAGTTTGGTTTTTTGGTTTGAAATGGAATTCTATTTTCTGGGAGACTTAAAGACCCTCTCTTACCCAAGGTTCTTGTTTCTGTCCTCTGGGGGATTCTCCTTGTTTAGAGATGGGAATACTGGGAAAGATGCCCTTCTTTGGGTTTTGGGATCTGTACCTTTCATAGTCTACTTCCTGTTGATATGAGTTCAGGGGCCTAGTGTTGGTCTTAAGGGATGAAGAGTAATAGCCAGGTCTGAGGTTTTTTTGGCAATATACCTCCTTCAAAAACTTTCAAGTCATTTCCATGTATAAGTAGCCACAGACGAATACTCTGACAATTTTTAAGCACAAAGAATCTCAACCTTTGATAATGACCTCTATGTTCTACCCTTCCCCCTAGCATTTGGCTTAATGTCACTTCCTTAAAGGAATAAAAAACAATAGCCTCCAGGAAAAAAAAAAAAAGACTCCAGGGAGTAAATATACCTTGTGACTGATCTTTGTCTGATAGATTAATAAAGGTTTAGGGTATTGATCTTATTGCATGTTAGAGTTCGGAACCCTCCTGCTTGTATTGACTTTACAGTAGAGGAGCAATTATCATTTTCAACATAGCAAGACTCTAAATTACAGGTCTCTTGAGCTCTGGTGGTGCAGTGATTAAAGCATTCAACTGCTAAACACAAGATCAGCAGTTTGAAGCCACCAGCTGCTCCGTGGGAAAGATGAAGTAGTCTGCTTCCGTAAAGAGTTACAGCCTTGGAAACCTTATAGGGCAATTCTACTCTGTCTCATAGAGTCGCTGTGAGTTGGAATCGACTGGATGGTAGTGGGTTTGGTTTCTCTAGTTTTCAGTCAATTTAGACTTTAGGCTGTAGACAGTAGAGTGCCTCTAAGTGACATAGTACTTCCATCTTTGCTTTAGACATAGACTAGTTTAATCTACATTCATCCTCTTTTTCAATATTTTGCTGAAAGGAACAAGAAATATCCAGCACACACTGACATTCTGGTTATTTCCCTTATTGCTGTAGCCTCAGGGGCACTTGGTCTGTGTTCCAAGAAGAGCTCTGGCCTTCCCTGTCACTACTGCATATCAAGGATTATCAGTTGGAAGCCTGTAATGGTCAGGTCCTTGATAACCATACCCTCTTCTACTTTTGTCTTCCTATGTGGCTAATTTCACATTTTAGGTTGTGTCAGTACCTCACTTCTGGTAACAAATTTGTTGCTCTTAGTTACAAGTATCATAAGCTGACTCTTGCTCATTGAGCAGAAAAGGCATCTATTAATAAGTTATTAGTTAACTCACAGAATTACTGTGAGGGCTGAAGAACTTGCCAGGCTTGAGACTAAACTTCCAGGAACAATGTTCAAAGCCATACCACAGAACTGGCCTGATGATAAAACTGCTGCTGTCCCATGGAGCACTAGAAGAAACTGCCACCATTTTACCCCATGGAGTACAAGGTACTACTTGTTGGATGCTGCTACAAATTCACCCTTACTGCAACTGCTCCTGCTGCTATACCACTGCCACTTCTGCGCCAGGAACTTGACCCTGTAACAGATTTTGTGCCAAGTCTCTTAGAAAGAGATCACAGTTGTTCACTTCTAAATATGGGTGAGTAGAATTGTTGGCATCTATGCCAAATGCCTGTGCCTGAGCTGCAAAGTAAACTGAGGAACTAAACTTTCTAAATCCTATTTTGGGGATTTAGAATTCATTCGGGAGCTCTGGTAGCGCAGTGCCTAAGGCACTTGACTGCTAACCGGAAGGCTGGGCAATCTACTTCTGTAGTGATACTGCCTCAGAAACTCAAGGAGGGGTCGCTGTGAGTTGGATCCGACTTGATGGCAGTGAGTCGGATCCGACTTGATGGCAGCGAGTCTTTTTTAGAATTCATTCAAATGATAACTTGAAACAAAGTAAGAACATTCCAGAAGTAGTGAACAAACAGAAAACACTGCTCTATCCCTTCACCTAATTCACATCACTACTAGGTCATCTTTGGAATAAAAAGTGCCATTGGATTTTTCTGTATCCATTAATTGCTAACACTTTAATTAGGCTAAACATACCACAGGTTATTTACTTGCTATATATTGATGTCAATAATGTAACCACTTCCTTTGTTATTTAATTGCATCACACCATTTTTCCTGTAATTTGTTTCATTCACTCTTGTTTTGTTAGGTGCCCTCCTTTTTGACTCATAGCAACCCCATGTGACAGAGCAGAATTGTCTTGTAGAGTTTTCTTGGTTGTAATCGTAATGGGAGCAAATCGCCATGTCTTTCTGCTGAAGAGTTCGAACTATCAACGTTTTGCAGCAGCCACTGGGTGGCTTTGAATGATCAGCCTTTTGGTTTGCAGTGGAGCATTTAACCATTGGGCCACCTGGGATCCTTTATTGACCCTAAAATCTCTGAATTTGCTCTCTACATAAAATACCAAAATACCATTTACAATATCAGTTTATTGATGTTGCCTGGTCTTTGACAAGGAACTGTATTGAGATCATGGTTTTTTTTTTTGTACTTTACCAAAACCCAAAAACCCACTTGCCTTTTAATAGAGTCTGTGTCATAGTGACCCTACAGGGCAAAGGAGAACTTCCCTGGAGAGTTTCCAAGGCTTTAAATTCTTATGGAAGCAGACTGCCTCATCTTTCTCCCACAGGGTATTGGTGGGTCCAAACTGTTGACCTTTGGCTAGCAGTGAGCACTTTAACCACTATGCCACTAGGGCTCCTTCCTGTACTTTAGGCCCCTGAAAAACCTTATCTAATGTGATCATATTAAGTATATCATTAAAAAAGCATTTTTTTGTTTTGTTTTTAAGAAAAAGATTTTACTTCAATTATGGACCAAATATTTTATTGACCCTGCAAAAGCATTTGATTGTATGGATCATAATAAATTATGGATAACATTGAGAAGAATGGGAATTCTAGAACACTCATTGTACTCATGAGGAACCTGTACATATAGACCAGGAGGCTATCGTTCGAACAGAACAAGGGGACACTGCATAGTTTAAAATCAAGAAGGGAGTGCATCAGGGTTGTATTCTTTCACCATACTTGTTCAATATGTATGCTGAACAAATAATCCGAGAAGCTGGACTATATGTAGAAGCACGTGGCACCAGGATTAGAGGAAGAATCATTAACAACCTGTGATATGATGATGACACAACTGATTGCTCAAAGCAAGGATGATGTGAGGCACTTACTAATGAAGATTAAAGAATATGGTCTACAGTATGGATTACATCTCAATATAAAGAAAACAAAAATCTTCACAACTGGACCAATAAATAGCATCACGATAAATGAAGAAAAGATTGAAGTTGTTAGAGACTTCACATTGCTTGGTTCTACAATTGACACCAATGGAAGCAGCAGTCAGGACATCAGATGACATATGTTGTTGTTGTTGTTGTTATGTGCCATCGAGTTGGACCCGACTCACAGCGACCCCTCCTTGGGTTTCCGAGGCAGTATCACTATGGAAGTAGATTGCTCTATCTTCCTTCTAAGGAGTGGCTCGTGGGTTTGAACCACCATCCTTCTGGTTAGCAGTCAAGTGCCTTAGCCACTATGCTACCAGAGTTTCCTAGCACTGGGCAAATCGGCTGCAAAGACCTCTTTCAAGCGCTGAAGAGCAAAGATGTCTCCTTGAGGACTAAGGTGTGCCTGACCCAAGCCATGGTATTTTCAGTCACCTCGTATGCATGTGAGAGCTTGACAATGAATAAGGAAGACCGAAGAAGAGATGATGCTTTTGAGTTATGGTGCTGGCGAAGAATGCTGAAAATACCATGGACTGCTAAAAGAACTAATAAATCTGTCCTGGAGGAAGTGCAGCTGGAATGCTCTTTGGAAGCAAGAATGGCCAGACTTCATCTCACCTACTTTGGTCATGTTGTCAGAAGGGACCATTCCCTGGAGAAGGATGTCATGCTTGGTAAGGTGAAGGGTTGAAAAAGAGGGGAAGGTCCTCAACGAGATGGATTGACACAGTGGCTGCAACGATGGGCTCAAGTATAGCTAGATCATGGAGCTGGCATGGGACCAGGTGGTGTTTTGTTCTATTGTGCATAGGGTTCCCATGAGTTGGACACGACTCAATGGCACCTAACAACAGCAACAACATGGACCAAATATAAAAATTTAGGTCAGGATTTTTTTTTTTTTTTTTAATTATTGGTAGACAGTAGGAGCTTGGATGGTGCTGTGCTAAAAGCATTTGGCTGCTAACCAAAAGGTAAATGGTCCAAACCCACCAGCTGCTCCATGGGAGAAAGATGAGGCAGTTTGCTTTGTAAAGATTTAAAGCTTTAGAAATCCTATGGGGGAGTTCTACTCTGCCCT